AAACATTTTATTTCCAGAATCAGTATCGATTGTCATATTTTCGCTCTATTCCTGGCCAAAATTTTATAGAGTTCAATGTCAAGTACATCATTTTCACTATGCGAGGTGACTTGCAGAATTTTTGTAAGAAAGGTGTTCTTTTTACATCCAGGTTTCAATTGAAAAAGAGATCAGGGTTAAATAGTTATGTTTGCCTTTAAGTCTACCCTTTTGGGGATTTGATCCCTACATCTCACAAATATTAAGTTACAGTGCTTATCTGTTGCGTTTTTGCCTTTGAATCTGTAACTTAAAATCGTCGTTGTACGGATTTTGAACCAGTTGTGCCTGGAAGTGGAAGCCATTTTGGTACCGTAGACCTGAGTACCATTATCTTGCCAGAAAACCCTGTGGGACAGGTAATATTATATTAATGTATTTATTTTATATGACAATCGACAATTTATTCTGTTAAATTGCCTACACCTTTTTTCCTCAGAACTAATTTGAGGTCTAATTTTATTCAAGGAATGTTGTCACATGGTTTGATTTCAATTACCACGTTTTATAGTTTTCAATCAGTTATTTTAAAAGAGAAAAAGATTTAAGAGCTCTTTTTACAACAATATTTCCTTCTTAGGGTTTTTTTTTTCAATCTGAGGTTTTCTCCCCGTCTGAGAGTTACGTTACGGTCCCATTTACCCCACCGAACTGCTGCTTGGTAGAAATTCAAGTCCATCAATTGGATTCCACCAATAACCGGTCTCTCAAAGCCAATCCTTGAGACCTACTCAAATCATCAAGTTCCGAGTGAGAACCAAGAAGTTTGCAGCTGTTTTGTGGTATCGTAACTTAACTATTGATTATAATTATCACCTTTTACCGTTCATTATTTTACCTTATTTTTATAAATTTAAATTTGTACCTTTAGTTACTTATATTTTTTTGTGTTGATAATATTTGTCAGGTTGTCAATTGATCAACAACATATCACCAAGCTTATCTATTTATTTTCCTCAAACCAGTTGACTTAAATTCCATTTATAATTAACGTAAATTCCATTTCTAATCAACTTAATTGAATGCACTTTTCTTAAACTCATTGTCCTCATTTAAACTGCAAGGGCTAGACAAACCCAACATTTAGATTTAATAGGTGGTTATAATCAATCAAATTCTAGCAATAAACTGTTACATAATTCTATAACAATTTAATTGAAGGTGTAAACCAGAGTGATATCACAAAGGTACTAATATTGCGGATAATAACGAATCGGTTTATATAATATATTGGCCTATTGACATTGATTTATTTAATATTGACTTGAACCCGGATTGCTGCTGTAATTTTTTTTTTAATGGACTAATGCCGAACTAACTCTAGTTTTTTTTACATCCGAATCCAAGTCAATAGTTACTAATATCTAGGTTGGGTTATTGATTTATTACAGGATTTAACTGAATTGCTTATTCTGAGAATTTACGTTTAATTGAGGTATTACTTTATAGCTTATGCATTTAATTCATATTGTTCAACTGATTTGAGTTTGGTATTGAACTACGGTTTTCAATTTCAACTGATTTATTGACTTTTGATATTTATTACCTGAGTATTGAACAACCGATAATTAACTAATTAATTTATCCGAATTTTGCTGACAAATTATCGAGCAATTATTGTACACCCCTTCTTTTTTTTTATTAAATAAATTTAGCTCTTGAATCTTTACATAGATTTGTTTCATTTGACTCTGGAAGCTCACTCTTGACTACCAACCAGTGGCGTTGCTTTGATTGAACTGAATATTCATTGGTTAATTATTTATTTATTTCATTATTTTATTTTATTTTATTATTTTATTTTTATTCTGTTTTGCCTATATCATAATATCTTGGTCTTTGGGTCCAGCCAACAGCCTGGAGAATACTGGCCATTCTGTCCAAGGTCAGTGGCGCCCATAAAAAACTCACCCCTACTCTCCGTATTTAATTTCTGAGCTAGGGCTAAATTTGCAACGTCCTAGACATCCAAGAGACCAATTCTTTTAATTTCATAATTTCAAATTATTTTAATTATTACATTTCACTTTTTATTCATTTTAACAAAAAAACGTAGCAAATTTCTTGAAGAAGAAAGTGAAAAGGAAGTGGATCTAGATGACGTCATATGTCCTGATCGTCGTTTCCAGATAGGAGACTACGTCTTAGTCATGTTTCCGATGAAGAAAACCAGTGTCCATTATGTAGGAAAAATCGAAGAAATCGAAAACAACGATTTTACAATAAATTTCATGAGACTAACAAAATTAAAAAACACATTCTGCTACCCTGATATATTATAAAGGATGCATCATTGGTAACCCGAAACGACGTTATCACAACGTTATCCGCACCCCCACTATTTCGGCAAGAAGAGGAACTATCTGTTTGATGAACCACTATGGGTTATTGAAAATTTCAAATAGGCAGCTTTCTCACGAGAATATCTAAGTTGTTTTTTTATATATGTGTGCCAAATAATATCAATAAAAATAGTTTGTAAAATGATTTTCTAATGTTGGTTATTTCATGCCCAAAGCTCCCGACTACAGTGCCCACAGGTCCATCTGGTAGGGATGCTTAGGCACTATTACAAGGTCTCTAAAAAGTTAAATTTTTTTTAAAAATATTGCAAGATAGAATTTCTAACATCGACTAAGCTTAAGTTAAGTCATCTATAATTTGTGGTAAATACAAATTAGGGCTAGATTGGGCTGCATTCACTGTAGAAGCAATATACTGAAAAAGTGCCCAAGGATCCCCACCATCCCTATATTGTCAACTGGTCTATAAATAAAAACCATCCTGTATATCAAAAACCCATTAATTAAAACTAGAACACGGTTTATCAACAGTCAACAGTTTATGCAGCTCAACGCGTAAACTAATGTTTACACGAAATGGATATAAAAACCGATGCAACCCATGGTATCGGCATCCATTCGGGTCTTTCTCTTCTCAGGGTCTCCTTACCCCAGGAAGTAGCATTAATCCCTTTTGGTTCGCATCTCTCTCCTCAGGGTCACCTTACCCAAGGAAGCAGTAGCTACGCCTCTCTTCAGGGTCACCTTAGCCCAGAAAGTCTTGGAGCAATCCCGTTTAATCGCTGGTATATACGTGCGGGAACCAGTTGCATCCCTGTATAGACACATATAGCCCCAAACGCGAGAGTCATCTGGCATACCTGCGTAGTATTGCTTTGGTAATGTACTTACTAAGAAGCAATATATGCCTTTTGTAGTTGTGTGTTTTCCTGAAGAGCATCGCCAAACCTCAGGTCCTACCCACATCAGCCGCGAGGTGTGTGACAATATCTACCTACCTATCTAACTTTTATCATAGTTTCAAATTGCCTAAGACACCTTTCCCAAATTTGGGGACAACTACGACTACTTCTATATGCTAAAATGATATTAACTATTATAGATAAACCAACCCCTAACTGTTCCAAATTTTAATGTAAAATACAGGGTGTATAGGAAAATAGTTGAACTCCGTTTTAAACCTAGAAGAGATTGATTATTTATGGCAGAAGAAACCAAACTTGAATTGTTTCAAAAGAAGACATCCTCTGAAGTTGATTTATTATTGTTAATCTTCTATACTTCTATCAATTTGAATGACCATTCTATGAAATATTTCAGTGTATCAAAGAATATACGTTATTATTAATTTTCTCTTTACAATTCATCAAGTTGTCAATTTTAATCACTTTGAACTGACAGAGTGTAAAACTCGTGCTATTTTTTTTTTGGGACTGAAATATTTGTTTAAGGTTCCAAAGAACTTGTAGATACTCATGAAGAATCGCAACTAAGAAAAGTTCCTGAATGTTATTGGTCAAGTTCACACTATCCTTGAACAAATGGTATGGTTGAAAGGCATGTCGGTATTTCTTAACCATTGCTTTTTTGTTAGAACATGGGAATACTCATGAATCATGATATTATCTGAAAGTAAAAGAATGTTTGGTGATATTGTAAATGCCATTCTTCCAGCACCCGAGAAATATTTTGTAGTGAATAAATAAATTCACGTCAATAACTTAGTGATTTTGACGTTGAAGTCAACTTCAAAGTGACGCGTCATTGCTAGCTGTAATACCTTACTCTATAATTTTTACAATGTGCTTCTATTTATATCCCTTTGAAATTCAGAAATAATTCCTAATGTTTTAGGCCGGAGTCTCAGGCATCCGTTTTCCGAGGTCCAACGTCCAAAAACCCTTCTATTCTGACATAATCGTATAAAAAAAATGTCAAAATAGAAGGTTTTTCGGACATAGGACGTCGGATAACGGATGCATGAGACTCCGGCTTTAGCCCTTAATAATTATAAAATAAGGAAACCTAACGACAGTTGTCTAAATTATTATTGTGAATAAAAAAGAATCTTTCACGATTCCCTTCTTTTTTGACTCGGTTTTGAAGGCCCTTGAATAGTAGACAATGCATAAAATACAAATTAACCACAGTATTTTATACACCTCCATTAGGAGAGGAATTTTCAATAAATTGGACCAGCCAAGAACCAGGAAATAACTAACTTAAATTTGTTCTACTGAAACGATATCAGAAAAAAATTGAACTCGTCAAATTTCCTTTTCCTCAAAACCAATAACTGGAGAAAAAAAATGTCTTTCATGAAATTAATTGAAATCTTTGCATATTGGGTTACGCAATTACTGTAGGTAGTTGCTGAACTTTATTGCAATTTGTTTTTAATTAGACTGACGTCAGTGGAAGTTATATCAGGATTCTCGACAATTATTAACACCGTCAACGTTATAAAGGTCAAGGCACTAGCTGATTCTAATTGCTAATATAACCAGCTGGCGTCATTACAACTTTGTTGGGACAAGTTTTAATTTGTGTTTCATATTTTTAAGTTTAATATATGAGTCGTAAGTCCTTTCACATCAGTACGTCGAATAATTGCTACCCGCTGCTTTCTCATTTCTATTTACTGAAATGTATCCCCTATTATGAATTTCTCCAGTCATAAAATAAGTGAGCACTGGAAATGGCTTCTGCCGGAAGGGCTTCGCCATGCTAAATTAATAAAAAAATATTGCTTGAAATAATGAAAAGAGTTTCATTATAATCAAAAATACTTTTTTACTATGTTACTGTTTACTGTGTTATCAATATTCTACTACGATCTAGTCATTGAATAAGGCATTTGAAATTAGGCTTAAGCAGCTTCTCTAGTAGAGCTTATCCATCTCTACTCTCACATTATTTGAAAACATCCACAGGAAACTACCAACTTACCTTTGCCGAATTGATTATCAAAGACGTTTCATCTGACTGAAGAATGTTTTGCAAATGTCCTTTAAGACTCTCTTCGTATTGGATTATCTGGATATGTAACTGGCCTTCGGGCTGTCCAGGTGTGAGAGACAGTTTAGGTACCGCAATTGTTCTTTCGAATGCCATCACGCTCCACCTTTAATTAAATACATTATCATGATTGCATTCTATTAATTTATGATAATAAAAGTTTAGCTCATTTCTATTCTATTGATGACATTTCTTATAAAAATTTTATTCTTGAACGCTTTTATTTTTGTATAAATGAACTAATGAACACTGAATTACATTTTTGAACCGAGAATAGAGGTGTTAAGATTTCTTTACCTGTCTAACATTTTAACACTAGCTCTCTCATATTTTTCGAGAAGTTGAGGCAAGTGTGCATCCGAGTCGCAACTAGCACCCCATCCTAATACTCGTGCTAGGTCATTACCGGTTCCTAGTGGCAGAACCGCCACTTGACATTGTCTCTGAAAACAGATAGAAGACAATCCAATTAAACAAGAACTTTTCGTTATCTAATGTATGTATAGTTGATCCAAAGCTAAATCCGTTGCACGTCAAAATGTATCCACCAGCAAATAATATACAGGGTGTCCCACGGTGGATGGCGTATTAGACGTTTATGGAAAACTAAAAATCGGATCATTTTGAAAATTTGGCAACCGGGATAAACGTCCATAATCTATACTTCAAAATTATTTTTGTTTATGCGGTATTGCCGCTTCTACTCTAAACAAGTGGCAACATCGCTATTTTAAATAGAACACCCTGTATGTGATTGCATATTTCGATTCTAAGTAAAATTCTGAGCAGATTTCATGTGATGTACCCTATACCTAAGTTCAACTGTTTTGGAAATATTTACAGTTGAAAATTGACTGTTTGCAACTTTGACCGGCTGTAAAACCTGAACGGTTAATTTTCGAGGAAAACCGATTTTACATTCCTATCTTAGATTTTTATAAACTATCATTTGACAGCAACTTTAAATTTAATCCATGATTAAAAATTCCAATTAAATTTAATCTTCGGTTAAATTCAAAATTGGTGCCAAATGATAGTTTATGAAAATCTAAGATAGGAATGTGAGATCGGTTTTCCTCTAAAATTAACCGTTCAGGTTTTACAGCCGGTAAAAGTTGCATTTTACGTAGAATCCAAATATGCAATCATATACAGGGTGATCCATTTAAAATAGCGATATTGCCACTGGTTTAGAGTAGGCGCGGCAACACCGCATATACAAAAATATTTTTGAAGTGTAGATTATGGTCGTTTATCCCGGTTGCCAAATTTTCAAAATGATCCGCTTTTTAGTTTTCCATAAACGTCTAATACGCCATCCACCGTGGGACGCCCTGTATAAGCGCAGTCGGCAGTCATTGATTGAGTTTTGCATCAACTATATAAACACGCCGCAAAATTATGGGAACGGCCAAAGTTTACACTAAGTTTGACGTCAATTTTCTCTCCCTTCGCTCGATTTCGATCATTTTTAATAGATTGTCCAATCTCAAAATAGAGCTTAGTTAACCGCTGGCGAGGAATATATTATCAATAGTAATATAACTAATGCAATGGAATTTATTGATAATTTTTGGGAAATTTGCCCGAATGCATTTTTCGTTGAAAAAGAGCAGGAGTGCACGTAGTGCACGAGTGCCTTTTTCAGTTAAAAACGCATGAGTGCAAATTTGTCGAAAATTATAAATATATTTCCATTGCACGAGTTGTATTTAATGAGAGAATTTCATAAATCAAAAATTTAAATTTTTTGTCAAAACACCAGTTTTCGCACCAGTTAGTATGCAATTATCTGATAATTTGCACTAGTGCAAATTATCGCGTAATTACAATCTGATTGGTTCAAATCAACAATCAAAACATGACAATTTATTGTTGAAATACCAGTTTTGACAGATGTATGAAATTCTCAAGAAAATTATCACGGGTAGAATTCCGAGCCAGTTAACCGCTGGCGGGGTTGTGCACGGCTAATAACACAAAAAAAAAGAAAAACAAAACTGAATACACACATACGCGCCGCTTCGGGGTTTAGACACCGGTCTAAGCCCACCTACACTACAAACAAAAATAATAGTTTCCTTGGAGCCTAGTTGACCGCTGGCGAGGAAAATATTATTAAGAAAATTTTCACGAGTAGAATCCCGAGCCAGTTAACCTGGCGGGGTTGTGCCGGGTAATAACCCAGCAAACACGAACTGACGGTAAACAATCGGCCGAATGCCTTGAACGATGGGTAAGTGACGGCATCGGCAAAATGCAGTTGGCCCCTTGTGTTTTCGATCATTGAATTCCGACTGTTGGCATTTGAACGCTGGCATAGCATCGGGGCTTTTCTATTAATAATTTCAAATTATACAACTGGTACTATATCACTGGACCGGCAGTTTGCCAATATATGTTTCCCAGCCTCCTTGAAAATTTCGAGCAGGCGCACCGCGCACCCGTTCTTCATGTGTGTTCTGTGCATTGTTGAACCTGAACGGCATTGACGGCCATTACCTCGTTGGCGACGTATGTTTGTGGCTTCGTTTTTGTATTTGGATTTTGTTCTTGGTCTTGTGCTTTGGGTAATTTCTCAATAATTGTGGAAATAAGTTATTGTGTTATTTACGTTGTTGCGCAAAAAGTCAATAATTGTTGAATAGATATAAGACAAAACTTTCTGGCAACGAAGATAACTTGGTGAGTAGGTACCTATATAGTTAAAATAACTCAAAATAAATACAATACACACATCCAAGCCCTTCCGGGTTATATACTTGGACGACGGTCTAAGCACATACACTTCCCTTGGAGACAGTTTCTGATGAAGAACAAATAAAACAGTCAACACACAAATATATGGCAAGAAAAAAGCTTAACCGAAACCAGAGAGAAAGAAAAGGATACGAAAAGCGTGAGGAAATCAACTCAATCTGTTCAGAAATTATGAACAACATTTGGATAAAAACATACAAATCAGGCCTCCCAGTAACTCCAACCGGAGAAGAAAAATTCGAACTTCGAACAAGCGATATCGGAACTACCGCCAACAAAACTAACAAGTCAACAGAATAATTTCAAAAATACCTAGTATTAAAAATCGTGAAATTGTTCGGCATAGACAACTTAAAAAAAAACAATGGCTACCAACAAGGAGGAAGTAGACAAGATCGCAAAACGCCAAGAGTTTATAGGCAAAGAGATACTACGATGGGTGTTTAACATCAATAAAGTTTCAGGAAGCCTAAAAACTGAACAATATTATGATGAAAATATAGCATCAATAGAGAAACTTTGGGCAGAAATACAAAAAAATTAAACAAGTATTGAAGAGGTGCACTATCTGGAATATAACTACACGAAACCAAATTATTTCATTCAACTGACCAAATGCTACAACGATCCAATAGAGATTATAACTGAATATCGAGACAAGATAAGGGAGTATCGAGCACAAGAAACCACGCTACACAAATAAACGTACGAGAAACAATTCGCGTTTGGGTTGACGCTCGGCGGAGCGAGCAGAGCGATTACGGAGTAACGTGACGTCACAGGAAGTACACCGTGTCAAGCCAAATAGACTTGTGCAAAAATGCTGGGTTGAGCGATCAGCTGATTATTGTTTATTTTTCTTAGCAATTTTTTGGAGTCCGGGCCCGCATTCCGCATTTGCACCAGAATTTTCTCGTTTGTTTTGCATTTGAGTCGATAATTTTCAAACAGCCCCTTTTGCTTTGTATTCTGCAAAAAAATGTGCTACATAACCAATAAAACGCACCTAAACACTCTGAGGCTGCCAAGTTCCCTGGGAAAAATATGTTCAATAATACCAGTGTTAAGGACTATCGAGAAAATTTAATTAAAAGTAAACTAAACATTTAAACAAACTAGCTAAAACTATCCACTTAACAAGTATATGTTAAAATTCAGGATTGTTTATTTATCTTCTTATCATGGAATCATGGAAAATAGGTTAGGTTATACAGACAGATTAAACTGCGCATGCACGCTCCAGCTACCCACCCCACAAACTCGGAGTTTATCGAGCTCGCTCTGAGCGCTCAAAATATGTCAAGCCAAAGACAATCAAGCGTTGTCGGAGCTTCAAAAATAACGGAAAAGAGACAAAAGAGCAAGCTCTGAGTGCACCGAGCGTGAACCCAAACGCGCCCTAAGTCGCCTTGAGGAAAAAAAGGTACTGATTAATCAAATGGATGAGTTACTGGAGTATATCGACACTGAATTTTTTTTTATTTTTTTTATTTGTCAAACACATTGTGTTTATTACATTACAATCTAGTCAGTAAGACTAATTAGCAATTTTGTTTTAACCTAATCTATATATATAAAACACAGTTGTGTTGGTATTTGAGCACTTATAACCCGAGAACGGCTGGACTGATTTTTATGATTTTTGCTTTATTGGATTTGTCTTTGTCCATCCTAGGATAATAAATCGAAAAAATCCAAAAAAAAAAAAAAAAACAAAAAAAAAATTATCTATTTTACTTATTTATGAAAAAAACTCACTAAGCCCGCATACGGCGCCATCTCTTATAACCGATACCAAGTTTACCGTCATTTTTTCATTGCAAACCATGTGGATTTTATTGTCTCACACTTTGCACAAAAACAATTTGAGGAAAGCACTTTATTTTTAATTGTTCTTCACAGTAAAAATGTCCAAAAATAAATAGAATGACAATGTTTTAATTGTGTATTTTATTTTGTTGTTGGTTCGTTCATTCCGAAAGAGCGCGAACTGGTCTACCTGTCATTTCTTGACGCTTTACCATTGACGTTCTGTGGCTAAGTTCCGTTTCTCCTCTTAGGCATCCCTTGACAGCCGTGTTCCGTGCCGACTGTTCGGAGTGCTCCGTCCGGCTGGTGTCGAGTGGCAGAGAGCCAGGTTATGAGTCCGCCACAACCATTTTGTATACGGCGCCATATATGATAGGTACCTAGAACGAAGCTCGCCGTTGCGCGGTAATTTCATTGCAGATACAGTAGAACAGAATACTGTTAAGGAACTGGAGCTATTCTGAACAGAACTATTCCACTATTCCGATCAGATAAAGTGGTGCAAAAAGAGTAGATCAGATAGAATAGTGCAGACACAGTAGAACAGATGGAGTATTGCAGTGCATGCAGTGCAGATAAAATGAAACAGGGCTGCGCTGGAGATTTCTTTTGTTTTCTTTACATTTTTTGAACATTCCTGTGCCTGAGTTTATTTATTTGGTGGTACACTTTATAAGAATAATGCCCACAAGATGCCTAAAAAGGGATGATGTAAAATTTTAATTTTAGGTGACTTCTGATCCAGAGAGTAAAAATTAATTTTCTTCGGCCAAAGCCAAATTCACCATCGAAAAAAACTGAATTTAATTCAGTTAATAGATACGTTAACACAACATTTAATAGGTATTTAATAATTCAGAGGAGGTACGAAGTT